TACAGAAGAAATTTTGTTTAATGAGAAAAGATAATAGATAATTGAAACAGGACAGACAAAAAATATAAATACAATGATTTGAATTGAGATGAGATAATTAAAATAAAATTGAGAAAATTAAAAGAGAGGAGAAGCTATGCAGAAAATGTAAAATAGTAATAAGATATGGAATAGAATATAAAAATGAGCATGGACCTGAATTTGTGTCTGTATGAAGAAATGTAACCCGGGATTACGCAACTTTCAAACAAGGTGTTTTATTTGCATTTTTTTTTCTCTTTGTGAAAACTCAAAATTTACAAAAAAAAATTAATAAAAATCACGGTAATAATAATTAGAATAATAACCATAATGATCATCATAATAATCATAATAACCACCATCATAATTAATGGCGGCAGAAAAAGCAACATCATCGGCCAGCAGCATCAGCGGCCACAGCAATAATAAATGCTTCCGTTTTTCATTGGGCAACGTTGAAACGGTGTCATTGGGAGCTCCCTCAGGCCTCTGTTCACCACGGGTGGTTGCTTCGTGCTGCAGAGGGAGAAAAGGGAGGAAGTCAAGTCCCTGATTTGTAATGGGGAGTGTAGGAGAGGATGTTTTCCTTTACCTTCTGGCAGTTCAACTTCTGCTCCTGCTTCTCCATCAACTGGAGGACGACTATTAATAATGGCGAAGCAAGATAAAGTACAAATGGATCTAGCGACGATTATACAAGGAGTACAAGAACTCAAAACAAGTATTGACCAAAGAACAGAGAGTATTGAACAAAGAATTGCAAAGACTGATGAAAAAATTGAAAATTTCCAACAAATGATGGCGAAACAGGAGGAGAGACTCCAAAAAATTGAGGAGAAAGATAAACAAAGAGATGAGACAATTGGAAATATTGTTAGCAAATTAACAACAGTGCAACAAGATATAACTGGGATGTTGAAGTGGGAGATGGATAGGTCAGAATTCTATCTCAGATTTCAAAATATTGAGGAACAAAAAGGACAAGATTTGGTGGCTGTAATGATAGAAATTCTGGCTGGAGCTTTGGAGATAACAGAGGAAAAGATGATGGACGGAGTAGATGAGATATATCGTGTTTTCCCAAGATATGCGATGAGGAATAAGCTACCAAGGGAGATCCATGTCAGATTTACTAAAAAGACTATTAAAACACAAATATTACAAGTCACAAGAGATAAGGGGTTGAAATATAAAGGTAAAGAGATTATGGTTTTAAAACAAGTGCCCAGAAGAGTGAGAGAGATGAGAAGAGAATATCAATTTTTGACCAAAAAATTATTGGAAAAAGACGTGAATTATAGATGGTTGATCCCAGAAGGATTAATGTTTATATGGCAAGAACAGAGACACAGAATCGACTCAATTGAGAAAGCAGAAATATTCCACAATGAATTTTTTGGAAGAAGAGAAATAGAGACAGAAAAAGAGACCATTTCAATTGAGCCTCAAGAAGACCAGATGAGAATGGGGAAAGAAGAAGGTGCGGTAGGTGGACAGATGGAGACCAAAGAACAACGTGAAGTAAAATCTACAAGAACTGTTAGACCTAAATTTAAAACATAACCATGGAGGAAAAAAAATTGATTTCTATGAATATAAATGGATTGAACTCAGCTATTAAAAGAAGATATTAAATTCAAAATGGATATAATTAAACATAAGATGGGTCAGGCGGAGAAAGAAGAATTGGCACAAAAAATTAGAAGTGCTAAACAGAACTATTTTGAAGATGCAAATAAACCAGGTAGATGGCTAGCATACAAATTGAGAAAGGAGAAAGAATCTAGGAAAATAGTACAGTTAATAGATGATCAAGGCCAAATGTGTTATGGTAATAAGGAGAAAAAGACAATTATCCAAGACTTTTATGGACAATTATATAAACAGGAGGATTTTGATGAGGAAAGAATTAAGCTTTATCTACAAAACGCTAACCTACCCAAGATATCTGAAGAGACTGAAAAAATGTTAGAAAGTACCATAACAATGATGGAACTAATGGAAGCATTTAATAGGCAGAATAATGGAAAAGCACCAGGCCTAGATGGGCTCCCAGCAGAATTTTATAAAACATTACAAGAATCGTTGAGCACTCCATTGTTATGTTATGAATGAAGCCATGTTAAATAAGAAAATACCCAAAACATGGTCAGAAGCTTATATCACACTTATTCCAAAAGAAGGGGCCGATCCATCACAAATTAAGAACTATAGACCTATTTCTTTACTGAACGCAGATTACAAAATCTTTGCTTCCATCCTGGCAGAAAGGCTCAAAAGATACCTAAATAACTTTATTCATCCTGACCAGAATGGATTCCTGCCAAGGAGACAAATTAGGGATAATATGAGGGTAATTCTGGACACTTTGGAATATTACCAGGCACACCCTGAAAAACAAATGGCTTTGGTATTTTTAGATGCCCAAAAAGCATTTGATAATGTGAATTGGAGATTCATGTTTTTGTTATTGGAACAGATGGGCTTTGCTAGAAAATTTATTCAAGCAATAGAAGCCATATATGACAAACAAATAGCAAGAGTGATGATAGAGGGAGATTTTACAGATTCTATTAATATAAGAAAAGGCACAAGACAAGGTTGCCCATTATCACCTTTGTTATTTGTATTGACTTTGGAAGTGTTGAATAGAAACATTAGAGAGGATCCAAATATAAAAGGAATGAAAATTAAGAAGGAGGAATTTAAATTGCAAGCCTTTGCGGATGATTTGGTTTTTATTTTGGAAGATCCTCTAGGAACAGCTTTAAAGCTACTAGAAAAGATAGAGATTTATGGTGAGATGGCCGGCTTGAAAATAAACAAAGATAAAACAAAGATCTTGACAAAGAATATGTTATTAAAACAAAGAGATGAACTGGCAGATTTATTGAAAATTCAAGTTACAAATAAGGTTAAATATTTGGGGATATATTTGACATCAAGATGTACTACATTGAAAGAGAATAACTATATTAAACTTAAACAACAGATAGCATCTGATTTGAAAAAATGGGAAAATCTACAATTGTCATTGATAGGTAGAATTTCAACAATCAAGATGAATATTTTACCCAGAATTTTATATTTATTCCAAACCATACCAATCAGGCTTGGTAAAGATTACTTTGAAGAATTAAATAAAATTGTGTTGAAGTTTATATGGCAAGGTAAGAAAGCCAGAATAAAATTAAAACTTCTGCAAGATGCTAGAATTAGAGGAGGTTTTGGCCTTCCGAATTGGGAGTTGTATTACCAAGCTGCAAATTTAATGTGGGTTAAGGATTGGATAACATTAAGAAAGACTAGATTGTTGACACTAGAGGGGCATGATTTATTACTGGGATGGCATGCTTTCCCGTGGTATAAGGGAACTAAATTGCAGGGCTATTTTAGAAGGCATTATATAAGGGAGTCTTTATGGTTGAATTGGGAGAAAATTAAGAGAAAATGTTATTTGAAAATCCCAGTCTGGTTATCAACTATTGAAGCTTTTTCTTATTCTATAATATATGAGAAGGAACAAACAGTTAGATATGGGGAAATATTGGATGAAAAGAGTGAACTTAAAACAATGCAAAAACTAGAAGAACAAGGCATAAAGATGAATTGGTTTTCATATGCGCAAATACATTCAAGGTATCTTATAGATTCTAAAGCGGAGGGATTTTATGATAAATTGACTGATCTAGACAGGATCTTGACAGGTACTGATGAAAAAGTGATTAAAAAATTATACACTTATTTGTTGGAAATTTTATTAGAGGAGGAACAAGTTAAAGAAACGATGATTGTTTGGGGGGAAAATTTTGGATATGGGATTGATTTGGAGAAATGGGAAAAATTGTGGTCTCAAAATTATAAAATGACAATGTCAACAGCTTATAAAGAAAACTTGTATAAGATGTTTTACAGGTGGCATTTTCCCCCAATAAGAATTGCAAGAATGTTTAAGAACAAATCTGAAAAGTGCTGGAAATGTCATCAGATACCTGGCTCATACTACCATATGTGGTGGACTTGTGAGGACGCTAAAAAATATTGGACTAAAATTCGCATATGGTTGGAAAAAATGACAAAGACACATATAGACTTGAAACCAGAGATTTTTTTATTGGGAATCTTACCTGATATATATAATAAAAATTTGAAGTATTTGATTGTAAATATATTAACAGTGGCTAGGATTGTATTTGCTAAGAACTGGAAGAGTGAGAAAACTCCATCAGAAGAAGAAACTATTAAGAAAATATTGGATTGTGCTGAAGTGAGTAAATTGACATTTGAAATCAGAGAACAAGAAGATAAACAATTTTATGAAGTTTGGGATCTTTTTTATCAATGGTTAGATAATAAAACATAATGATAGAATATTCAGATTTAGCATAAAAAAATTTTTTTTCCTGATATTATCTTTATAAAACATTATCAAGATAGATTTGGTATGATCTTATGATTTATTGCAAAATAAATTAAGTAAACTATAGTTATCTCGTTAAAATATGAATTAACAAAATTATAGATAAATGTATTTTTTAGTGATGATATTAGGTTATACAATTATTGATTGATAATATGAGCTATTATGTAATATAATTATACTAGTGACTAGGAAATGGATGCACAAAAAAAAAGTGGTAAACCAATCGATGCACTGTATGTAAATTCATGAAGAAGGAGGATATTTTTATGTTTTTTGTGGTATGTTTATGTTTATCTTGTTATTAAAAAATAAAAAAAACTATAAAAAATTTTACAAAAAAAATTAATAAAAATCACGGTAATAATAATTAGAATAATAACCATAGTGATCATCATAATAGCCACCATCATAATTAATGGCGGCAGAAACAGCAACATCATCGGCCGGCAGCATCAGCGGCCACAGCAATAATAAATGCTTCCATTTTTCATTGGGCAACGTTGAAACGGTGTCATTGGGAGCTCCCTCAGGCCTCTGCCCCCCACGGGTGGTTGCCTCATGCTGCAGAGGGAGAAAACAGGAAGTCAAGGCCCTGATGTGTAATGGGGAGTGTAGGAGAGGATGTTTTCCTAGCCCCTCATTCGTTGTCTCTCCCTCCCCTCCAGTCCTCCTGGCCCCTTCCCTGACCCATGTTCATCCCTCAGAGCTGATGGGCTGGAGAGACTGAGCTGGCCTGGATCCTCCCTGCAGAGCATCAGATCAGAAGATCCCAACCAGGAGGGGCTGAGCCCCAGAGGAACCCCATGATCTCTCCATGGCTACCTTGGAAAGACTTGGACTAGGGGGAGGATTCCCCCACCCCACAAGCCCCACCGTCTTTTCCTCCATGGATTTTCCAACTGCGAAGTTTTGCCTCTATTTAAGAGTTCAGCAAGTGTCTGGCTCACCTCTGAGCTCCCTGTAGGCTGGAGCATTGGCTGTGACTGAGTCTCATCTTCTGTGTCATAGATAGCTGGAGAAGGAACCTTTTCTTGAGAAACTTGATCAGGCCAAGTTGTCACTTTGCGAAGGAATTTTTTCCGGAGCCTCCTCCGCTGGTCTGAGAGATTGCAAAAAGAGGGGACAGCTAGTTAATTTTGGGGGAGCAGCTCCTGCCTGGGATAGAGAAGGACTCAAGCTGAAGGCCTCCAGAAGGCCCAGATGGTCCAAGTGGCCGGATTATAACCCAGTGTCTTGAAAAACAGGCCTTAGTGCTCCCAGCAGGTTATGACAATGAAATGGAGCACTCCTGGGGGATACTGAGGAATAACCAAGTTGAAACTCTCCTTGCTTGAGAAAGAGAAAGAGAGAGAGAACTCTGATCTAACCTCTCTCTCTACCCCCCACCCCCACACAATCACACAGAGGCAGGGGTGGGATTCAAATTTCTTAACCAGTTCTGTGGGCATGGCCTAATTTGTGGGTGTGGCTTGGTGGTCATGCAACTGGCTGGCCATCGCTTGTATGTAAATATTATAAATATTTTTGTAAATATTGAATTTTTTATTTAAAAAGAGCAACTTTTACCCCAAATCAGGCAAAGTAGGCAGGCAGATTGAATTGCTCACAGAATCACAGATTCATTTAGAGATCTGTGTTTCTGCCATTGACTACCTGAGTCTGCACTGAATAATAGAAGCTTCAGTCCTAAGGAAGGTTCAGCTCTGCTTAAAAGCAGAGCCAAAGATCTTAAGATTAGTTAGAAGGCTTTCTAGCTAATTTAAATCTCCTGGCAAAGCAGAACGGATGATGGTCAGGGGAAAAAAAGGAAAAATAGCAACTTAGCAGGCAAGTTTGCCAGGTACGAAGTCAGTGGGTGGGGAAGGTTCCCGTGGGCCATGTGGGTGGCACAGCCTTGTGTTCCCATGCAGCCTGGATTAATTGCTTTGAGGGATGCTCTGGGGTGACATTTCTCTGCAGACCACCAAAATTTTCTCCTGGTCCACCAGTTGGCTGTGGCCCACCAGTTGGTTATCACTGATTTAGAGGACTCCTGATATTTGCTCCTCTGTCCATTGAGGCCAAAGAGGCTTCCTCCCAGATGTGAGGAATGTGGAACATTTTGAGGCTTACAAGGGTTGAAAAAACGGCTGCGTAGTTTCTTCTTCCTTTCCAATTCCTGTTCAAAATGCTGTTTGTGGGGAAGGGTCTCGTGGGGGCCCTGACTGCAACTCTCAGAGAAGCTCTTGCCCATCCACCCCAACTCAGTGAACCCAGAAGGACCCAGGGGTGAGTGTCAGTGGATGTGCCTGTTTCACTTACAGTTCAGGAAGAGAATCCAAACTCCCAGGATTACGCCTATAACAATTATGCCTGGAACAATTCCCACCACGGGAATCCGCCGCATTGCACCTAAAGAAGGAGAAAGAGGGCTCTGATTAGAGAGATGCTGAGTTCCCCAAAGTGGAGATGCTGAAGAGTGGAAGCCTTTCCCAACGTTCCTTGGCCTCTAGGAAGTGCCCCCACCTGAAGGAAGCCCCTCCCCTCCAAGGCTGCAGAGGGAGGAGGGAATGGCCTTGAAGGGCAGAAGGAGGAGCCACAACCAAACATCTCACATATCTTCATACTGTTGCTATTAAATTACCATTTCCAACTCTTCTGACAGAAACCACTTCTCTCCCATTGCTAAATGCAGGACCTTTCCTGCTCTCCATCTCAAAACATGAGATGTTGCAGAAGAAATCTACCCCACCCCCACCACAGATTTTCAAACATTTCTCTAAAATCTACTTCTACCCTCTCAGCCTCTCACCTCTTTCCTCCTTGAAAGCCAAGTCCAGGGGCTCCTGCAAGCCCTCGTGCTCCAGGTGACACCGAAAATGGTCCCTCTCCTTGGGGTCGATCTCAATGCTGAGCTGGACATAATAGGTCCCGTCTGAGTTGGGGGCCACGTTCTTAAGGAGGGTCTCGTACTTGCAGGCCTCTCCATCCCTGGTCCAGGTGGCCTGGATCTCCTTGGGGTAGAAGCCAAAGGCCTGGCAGGTGAGGACCTCCAGCCTCTCATCCTCCACTTTATGGGTCACCTTCCCCACTGGGGGCTCTGCAGAAACAGCAACAAGACCAGAGTTCCCAGAATTTCTAGAGTTTCTGGCAAGATGATTTAAATATCAAGTCCTCCTTTGGCCCTCCTCTCCCTCTCTTCCCTCTCCTCCTCTGAAGCTGTGAGACCCACAAAGACGGGAACATGGGAGTGATCGTCACTTCAATAGGACTAGATCTTATTTTCCTGCTCAGTTTCTTTGTCTTTTTTGGGGGGGCATTGAAGGTTATTTTCCTTCCGTAATAGGATGTGAGATACCTCCTGACCCTTTTCTGCAGAGGGTGGATTGGCCATGTAGGACAGAGATAAAATGGGGGAGAGGGAGCCAATAGAAACATGATCAGTGGAGCCCCCTTTTTGCCACTCACCTATCTTCTCCAGAGTCGTCTTCTTGTAGGACAGGTATCTCTGCAGCCAGGCAATGCAGATCTCCTCCAGAAAGACTTTACTTTCCTGGGACCATCTTGGATCCTCCTCCCACTCCTCCTTGACCTTCTGGGCCAGGGGCTGAGCTGTCATCCATCTGAGAGTCTCCTTGTCGAAGCTGATGAAGTCCATCCCATCGTAGCCATAGCACAAAAACCCTCCTTTGCTCCCGTCTTCCCTGAGCTCACAGCCCAAATTCACCTGCCAGGTACGAAGCCCTAAAAGAGACCCGGAGGAGGTGGAGATGAATGAAAAGGGTGCAGGATTCCTCTCCTTAGAGAATAAATAGAGTTACCTTCTCTTCCCCCCTGGGGAGAGAAACCCAGTTTCTCTTTCTCCTCTTTATCAGACAAGAGGAAATGTCTCTTACTTCAGCTAACCCTGTTTGAGGTCCGGCCATGAAGAATTTCTGGGTGGGAGAGAGAATTGTTTCCTTTCCAGCAGGCATTGATGTCCCTGGTTCTGCTCACCTCCAGCCTCCTGATCCAGTTTTGATAACGTCTCCAGGTCAGCCCTGAACATCCACTCAGGGATCAGAAACTTCTCCTTCCCTGCCTCCTCCATCCAGGGCACCAGAGGCTCCATCTTCCATGTAAGGCTGTCAAAGCGGATGATGGGATGGTCATCCAGGTGGACCTTAATGAAGAACTGGTGCAGCCCCTGACTGGGCTCTGAGAGTTTCAGGTAGAAGTAGGACAGGGAGTGTGAGGGAGGGCCTAGAGAAGGAAGGGGAGGAGAAGAGCAGAATTGGGGGGAGGTTCAGCCCTGAAGCTCCACCCCCTTCAACAGTTCATTGTCACAAACAGTCTCTCCCCAACAAGTTCTCTAAAGTGGAAGAAATTGGTTCTCCCCCTTTTCTCTTCTGCTTGGGAAGATACATTGGAGGGAAGAGCCCCCAGCAGCCCTCGGACGACCCTGGGAACATCTGGGCAGGGCCACATCTGGTTAAGTTCTTCCTGCAGCTCCTCTGGGCTCTGGGGATTCCCAGGCAGCTGCTTGTGGGCCTGACCTCCATGGTGACCCCAAACACCCCACAGTGGGAAGAGCCAGCTGGGCCCTATTTACATGGAAGCTAACAAGGGAGCGGAGCATCTTTCCAGCGAGGGCAAAGTTTGCTGATAAGGGGGGAGCTGAATGGCGAGGACTTCGCCCAATGCCCAGGCAGGAGGAGGAAGGAGAAGGAAGGGCTGAAGTCCAAACTTCGCTTTTCACTTTTACTCTCTGTAAATGGGAACCAATTTACAAATCAGATACCAACGTTTTTAAACCGGATTCGGTGAAATCTGTGTGAATGGAGTTTCGCATTGAGGGGGGAATGGGGGAGAGAGAGAACCGACCCAGGACATGAGCTTCCCCTCCCCCGTCTGTTGCCCCCCCCCAACCCCCGCAGTCGCCACCAACTCACCGCAAAGAGCCCCAGGCCCGAAGGAGCCCAGCGCCACTCCGAAGAGCAAAAGGACCGGCACCGGCCGGTTCAGCGGCATCCCAGTCCATCCGCACTTCGCGAAGGACAAGCCGCTTAGGCGCCTCTCCCGGTCCGCGTCGCGTCCGGATCCGCAAAGAAGCCCAACTCTGCTGAACTTCTCCGTCCCGTCCCCGAAGAACCAAAAGAGCGCTGCTCCCTTGCGCTCTTCCCGGGCCGTGGAGGAAGGAAGGGGGACGCTGCCCGCAGCCACCACCTCGCTCATTCTTCTTCCGAGGCTCTCCGATCGATCCCCCTTCGCCCCTTCGGGCTTTCGGGGAGCTTTAGGCAGAAGGCGGCCCGTCGATGATCTGAAGGGGATGGCCTGCACAGGAGCCGCACCCGTTTCCTTCCCCGCTTCTCAGCCCCGCAGCCCGGGGGCCGAAAGGACGGAGGCGCCGGGCAAAAGGAGCCTTTATAACCGGCACCTGCAGGCACCTTCGCTCCGCCCAGGACAGCGCCGCCCTCCCTCCTTCGCCCGCCCTCTCGGCCCCTATCCTGCCCGCCCCGAGAGCTCCGCTAAAGTTTTCCGCCGGTCCAAAGTTGGCGCCTCTGCTTTCTTTTGCACGGGAATCAAAGGGAATCTGGGGGGAGGGGGGGTTATGCCAGAGGGCTTGGGAAAGCAGCACCACTTCTGGGCCTCGGCCCCCTCCCCTCCCCCTGGGACAAGCCAGCCAGAGCCCCTTGGAGGGGTGGGGGCAGGGCCTTTGGAGCCAGGCTCTCTAACTCCCAGTTGCTGTTTCTGCTTAGTGCTTCAGGGGAGCCCAAGGGACAGCGCCCTGCGCTACAGGGAGACCTCAACTTACAACAGTCTGTTTAGTGACTGTTCAAAGTTCGCAACAGTAAAACTGAGGGATGGCCATTTGAGTGAAAAATAAAAGGGAATGTACAAAGTTGCCCCAGCATCTCCTTTAGTGAAATTCCCTTCCTCTATTTATTCATTCATTCATTCATTTATTTATTTTCATTTGTTATCAACTTATGGAGGAGGCACAGGTTCACAATACAAGGAGGGTTTTAATAATTCGTGGCTCCTGTGAGACAGTTGATTTTACAATGTTTGGTGTTGACTTTGGCCTCAATGCTGACTGACTTTCTGAGCAAGCAGTAAACAAGTTTACAAGGAAAGTTCCACCTCTTCCTTCTGGGTCTTATCTGAGGAAAAAGTCAAAGTAAACAAAAGAATGTTTATGGTTCCTTTTGATCCTTCCTTCTGTCCACCCCACAGCCGGGCAAAGGCTGAGCCTCTAATCAGCTGTTTCCTGATCACCAAACTACAGGAGACTCTGACCTGGGAGCCGGAAGTCTCCATTCTCTCTACTCAGCTGTAAGACTCCAAGCATAGGAGTTTGGGGGGTCAGCTCCACAAGCAGCTGTGGGAACCTGGAGGTCCCCCCACCAGATGTGTCCAGCTGTCTCCAGGGCCAGCCAAGAGTTGCTTGAGAACTTCTTCCAGGGTTAATCTCATGACTGGGATCCTCTGAAGTGAAGCAGGCAATAGGACTTAGTATGGAGGGAGGGGCTGGAGCTGCAGACCCCACTCAATTCTACCCTTCCCCCTCTTCCCCTTCCAGGCTCCTCCAGGGACTCCCTGTGCTAGTCCTGCTGGAGGGTGTCAGAGCCCAACCAGGGGCTGCCCCAGATCCTCTCCGTGGTCACCTGCATAACCAGCCCAGGGGTGGGATTCAAATAATTTAACAACCGGTTCTCTGCCCTGATGATTTCTTTGAACCACCAGTTCACCAAACTGCTCAGAAAGTTAACAACGGGTTCTTCCAAACTGGTGCGAACTGGCTGAATCCCACCACTGCATTAACCTGATGCGGGTACAGATTTATGGTGATTGGAGTCCCCGGTCAGCATTTTTCTAAGACAAGGGAAGGTTGACCTAATCCTTTATCTGGTTTTATTTTAGATTAGTTACTTAATATTTTGCAGCATTTATGCTTCTAAAGCCTGGTGTCAGATCCGTGTATCTGTTATTTCTTCAGTGGAAGAAGAAAAGGGCGCGGGGAGAGACTGATAAAGAAATCCTTTCTTGATGTAACCTGAATATATTTAATGCTATATCGAATTTGTATAACCTACACATGATACAATGGAGGGAGGAAACTCAGGTGGCCGGAACCTATCACCTCTGAGAGGCACAGCCAGGAGGTGAGAAGACCATAAAAATTCCACAGTGAGATGTGTCCAGGGAACCTCTGGAAAAGTTCGTTCTGAAAAGGGGGTGGTGGGAAATTAGATGTGCCCTGGGAAACTGTGAAAAAGATCATTTCTACAAAAGGGATGGGGGGGAATTAACATACTGGCTTTTGTTTCACTAAATAAACATTGAGATAAGGGGAGGGGTTCTAAACTCCCTTACCTCTCCCTGTATGCCTGAGAGACCTCAGACGCTGCTTTGAACTCCTACATGAATTGTCTCATCTCAATAAAAGATTCCTTTTGATACGTTTGGTTTTCTGAAGTTCATTCTTTTTTAAAAATTTTATTGGTTTTTAAAAACAAACATAAACAAACAAAATATAAAAACATCAAGCTATCTTCCATAGGTGTACATACAGTGTGCCGGTTGGTTTACGAATTCTTCCATTTCATAGTCTTCAATTACAGTTACATTACATATAATCTCATATTGTCAATCAAAAATTAAATACCTTAGTATCATTATTAATCAATCATTTGACTATACTTTTATTCATTCATGTTTTATAAGATAACCATAATTTACTTAATTTATTTTATAACAGTTCGTATTATCACCCCAAATCTATCCTAAAATCATTTTGTAGTTATAATAAGGAAGTACATCTTTATATATTTATTATTTTCTAAAAATCTACATATTTCATTACTGTATTTTATTATCTAACCATTGATAGAAAAGATCCCAAATTTTATAAAATTGTTTATCCTCTTGTTCTCTAATTTCAAATGTCAATCTACTCATTTTAGCACATTCCAATATTTTCTTAATGATTTCCTCCTGTGATGGTATTTTCTCATTTTTCCAGTTTTTAGCAAATACAATCCTAGCCGCTGTTAATTCATTTACAATCAGGTATTTCAAGTCTTTACTATATATTTCAGGTAAAATTCCCAATAAAAATATCTCTGGTTTCAAGTCTATATGTTTTTTCGTCATTTTTTCCAACCACATGTGGATTTTAGCCCAGTATTTTTTTAGCATCCGCACAAGTCTACCACATATGGTAAAATGAGCCAGGTGTCTGATGACCTCTCCAACATTTTTCAGATTTATTCTTGAACATTTTTGCTATTCTTGTCAGGGGAAAATGTCACCTGTAAAACATCTTATACAAATTTTCTTTATATGCTGTTGACATTGTCATTTTATAATTTTGAGACAATTGTTGCCATTTCTCTAAATCAATCCCATATCCAAAATTCTTCCCCCAAGCAATCATAGTTTCTTTAACTTGTTCTTCTTCTAGTTTAATTTCTAATAGATATCCATACAATTTTTTAATCACCTTTTCATCGGTACCTGTCAAAATCTTGTCTAAGTCAGTCAGTTTTTCATAGAAACCTTCTGTTTTAGAATCTTTATCATAACTTGAATGTATTTGCGCATATGAAAACCAATTCATCTTTATACCTTGTTCCTCTAGTTTTTTCATAGATTTAAGTTCACATTTTTCATTCAGTATTTCACCATGTTTGTTCCTTGTTGTATATTGTAGGATACGAGAATGCTTCAATAGTCGATAACCAGACTAGAATTTTCAAATAACATTGTCTTTTAATCTTCTCCCAGTTTAACCCCAGAGACTCCCGTATATGGTGTCTTCTAAAATATCCCTGTGTTTTAGTTCCCTTGTACCATAAAAAAGCATGGCACCCCAACAACAAATCATGTCCTTCTAATGTCAACAATCTAGTATTTCTTAATGTTATCCATTCCTTGACCCGCATCAAATGTGTAGCTTGGTAATACAACTCCCAATTAGGCAAACCAAATCCTCCTCTAATTCTAGCATCTTGAAAAAGTTTTAATTTCATTCTCGCTTTCTTACCTTGCCATATATATTTCAACACAATTTTATTTAAATCTTCAAAATAGTCTTTTCAAAGCCTAATTGGAATTCTTTGAAACAAATATAAAATTCTGAGTAATATATTCATCTTGATTGTTGAGATTCTCCCTATTAGTGAGAGTTGTAAGTTTTCCCATTTCACCAAATCTAGCGCTATCTGCTGTTTAAGTTTAATATAATTATTCTCTTTTAATGTACTACGTCTTGCTGCCAAATATATCCCCAAGTACTTGATCTTATTCGTGACTTGAATTTTCAGTAGGTCTGCCAGTTCTTCCAATTTGTCTTAATAGCATATTCTTTGTCAAAATCTTTGTCTTATCTTTATTTTCAAACCAGCCACCTTTCCATATGTCTCTATCTTTTCTATCAATTTTGATGCTGTTTCTAAAGGGTCTTCTAAGATGAAAACCAGATCATCCGCAAATGCTTGCAGCTTAAATTCTTCCTTTTTGATTTTCATTCCTTTTATATTCTTTTCATCTCTAATATTTCTGTCTTTTACTTTTTATAATTTAAATGGCATTTCCTCCTTCTTGTAACTGCTTGTGTGGGAGTTTTTTTGTCTTCAGTCAAGAATATTTGGAGCATGGAAGCAAAGGGAAGGAATAAAAGGGGATTTACCTGTTTTTTGTGACTGTGTTTATTTTGTATCCCACCCTGGATCATCACACTTGGCACCCAACTCCTTTAATGAT